CATCCATCACACCTAGATCCATCCATCACACCTAGATCCATCCATCACACCTAGATCCATCCATCACACCTAGATCCATCCATCACACCTAGATCCATCTATCACATCTAGATCCATCTATCACATCTAGATCCATCCATCACACCTAGATCCATCCATCACACCTAGATCCATCCATCACACCTAGATCCATCCATCACACCTAGATCCATCCATCACACCTAGATCCATCCATCACACCTAGATCCATCCATCACACCTCGATCCATCCATCACATCTCGATCCATCCATCACATCTCGATCCATCCATCACACCTAGATCCATCCATCACACCTAGATCCATCCATCACACCTAGATCCATCCATCACACCTAGATCCATCTATCACATCTAGATCCATCCATCACACCTAGATCCATCCATCACACCTAGATCCATCCATCACACCTAGATCCATCCATCACACCTAGATCCATCCATCACACCTAGATCCATCCATCACACCTAGATCCATCCATCACACCTAGATCCATCCATCACACCTAGATCCATCCATCACATCTCGATCCATCCATCACACCTAGATCCATCCATCACACCTAGATCCATCCACCACACCTAGATCCATCCACCACACCTAGAACCATCCATCACACCTAGATCCATCCATCACACCTAGATCCATCCATCACACCTAGATCCATCCATCACACCTAGATCCATCCATCACACCTAGATCCATCCATCACACCTAGATCCATCCATCACACCTAGATCCATCCATCACACCTAGATCCATCCATCACACCTAGATCCATCCATCACACCTAGATCCATCTATCACACCTAGATCCATCTATCACACCTAGATCCATCTATCACACCTAGATCCATCCATCACACCTAGATCCATCCATCACACCTAGATCCATCCATCACACCTAGATCCATCCATCACACCTAGATCCATCCATCACACCTAGATCCATCCATCACACCTAGATCCATCCATCACACCTAGATCCATCCATCACATCTAGATCCATCCATCACACCTAGATCCATCCACCACACCTAGATCCATCCACCACACCTAGATCCATCCATCACACCTAGATCCATCCATCACACCTAGATCCATCCATCACACCTAGATCCATCCATCACACCTAGATCCATCCATCACACCTAGATCCATCCATCACACCTAGATCCATCCATCACACCTAGATCCATCCATCACACCTAGATCCATCCATCACACCTAGATCCATCCATCACACCTAGATCCATCCATCACACCTAGATCCATCCATCACACCTAGATCCATCCATCACACCTAGATCCATCCATCACACCTAGATCCATCCATCACACCTAGATCCATCCATCACATCTAGATCCATCCATCACATCTAGATCCATCCATCACACCTAGATCCATCCATCACACCTAGATCCATCCATCACACCTAGATCCATCTATCACACCTAGATCCATCTATCACACCTAGATCCATCCATCACACCTAGATCCATCCATCACACCTAGATCCATCCATCACATCTAGATCCATCCATCACACCTAGATCCATCCATCACATCTAGATCCATCCATCACACCTAGATCCATCCATCACACCTAGATCCATCCATCACATCTAGATCCATCCATCACATCTAGATCCATCCATCACACCTAGATCCATCCATCACACCTAGATCCATCCATCACACCTAGATCCATCCATCACACCTAGATCCATCCATCACACCTAGATCCATCCATCACACCTAGGTCCATCCATCACACCTAGGTCCATCCATCACACCTAGATCCATCCATCACACCTAGATCCATCCATCACACCTAGATCCATCCATCACACCTAGATCCATCCATCACACCTAGATCCATCCATCACAGATCCATCCATCACATCTAGATCCATCCATCACACCTAGATCCATCCATCACACCTAGATCCATCCATCACATCTAGATCCATCCATCACACCTAGATCCATCCATCACACCTAGATCCATCCATCACACCTAGGTCCATCCATCACACCTAGATCCATCCATCACATCTAGATCCATCCATCACATCTAGATCCATCCATCACACCTAGATCCATCCATCACACCTAGATCCATCCATCACACCTCGATCCATCCATCACATCTCGATCCATCCATCACATCTAGATCCATCCATCACACCTAGATCCATCCATCACACCTAGATCCATCCATCACACCTCGATCCATCCATCACATCTCGATCCATCCATCACATCTAGATCCATCCATCACATCTAGATCCATCCATCACACCTAGATCCATCTATCACACCTAGATCCATCCATCACACCTAGATCCATCCATCACACCTAGATCCATCTATCACACCTAGGTCCATCTATCACATCTAGGTCCATCTATCACACCTAGATCCATCCATCACATCTCGATCCATCCATCACATCTAGATCCATCCATCACATCTAGATCCATCCATCACACCTAGATCCATCTATCACACCTAGATCCATCCATCACATCTAGATCCATCCATCACACCTAGATCCATCCATCACACCTAGATCCATCCATCACACCTCGATCCATCCATCACACCTCGATCCATCCATCACATCTAGATCCATCCATCACATCTAGATCCATCCATCACACCTAGATCCATCCATCACACCTAGATCCATCCATCACACCTAGGTCCATCCATCACACCTAGATCCATCCATCACATCTAGATCCATCCATCACATCTAGATCCATCCATCACACCTAGATCCATCCATCACACCTCGATCCATCCATCACACCTCGATCCATCCATCACATCTCGATCCATCCATCACATCTAGATCCATCCATCACACCTAGATCCATCCATCACACCTCGATCCATCCATCACACCTCGATCCATCCATCACATCTCGATCCATCCATCACATCTAGATCCATCCATCACACCTAGATCCATCCATCACACCTAGATCCATCTATCACACCTAGATCCATCCATCACACCTAGATCCATCCATCACACCTAGATCCATCTATCACACCTAGATCCATCCATCACACCTAGATCCATCCATCACACCTAGATCCATCCATCACACCTAGATCCATCCATCACACCTAGGTCCATCTATCACATCTAGGTCCATCTATCACACCTAGATCCATCCATCCCACCTAGATCCATCCATCCCACCTAGATCCATCCATCCCACCTAGATCCATCCATCCCACCTAGATCCATCCATCACACCTAGATCCATCCATCACACCTAGATCCATCCATCACACCTAGATCCATCCATCACACCTAGATCCATCCATCACACCTAGATCCATCCATCACACCTAGATCCATCCAACACACCTAGATCCATCCATCACACCTAGATCCATCCATCACACCTAGATCCATCCAACACACCTAGATCCATCCATCACACCTAGATCCATCCATCACACCTAGATCCATCCATCACACCTAGATCCATCCATCACACCTAGATCCATACATCACACCTAGATCCATCCATCACACCTAGATCCATCCATCACACCTAGATCCATCCATCACACCTAGATCCATCCATCACACCTAGATCCATCTATCACACCTAGATCCATCTATCACACCTAGATCCATCCATCCCACCTAGATCCATCCATCACACCTAGATCCATCCATCACACCTAGATCCATCCATCACACCTAGAATCCATCCATCACACCTAGATCCATCCATCCCACCTAGATCCATCCATCCCACCTAGATCCATCTATCACACCTAGATCCATCCATCCCACCTAGATCCATCCATCACACCTAGATCCATCCATCACACCTAGATCCATCCATCACACCTAGATCCATCCATCACACCTAGATCCATCTATCACACCTAGATCCATCCATCCCACCTAGATCCATCCATCACACCTAGATCCATCCATCACACCTAGATCCATCCATCACACCTAGATCCATCCATCACACCTAGATCCATCTATCACACCTAGATCCATCCATCCCACCTAGATCCATCCATCACACCTAGATCCATCCATCACACCTAGATCCATCCATCACACCTAGAATCCATCCATCACACCTAGATCCATCCATCCCACCTAGATCCATCCATCCCACCTAGATCCATCCATCCCACCTAGATCCATCCATCACACCTAGATCCATCCATCACACCTAGATCCATCTATCACACCTAGATCCATCCATCCCACCTAGATCCATCCATCACACCTAGATCCATCCATCACACCTAGAATCCATCCATCACACCTAGGTCCATCCATCACACCTAGATCCATCCATCCCACCTAGATCCATCCATCACACCTAGATCCATCCATCACACCTAGATCCATCTATCACAACTAGATCCATCCATCCCACCTAGATCCATCCATCACACCTAGATCCATCCATCACACCTAGATCCATCCATCACACCTAGATCCATCCATCACACCTAGATCCATCCATCTCACCTAGATCCATCCATCACACCTAGATCCATCCATCACACCTAGATCCATCCATCACAGTAAATGTTAACCTGTCGTGTTTTAATTGTTGGTAAAATAAATTCTTATTTTTATAAACCTGACTCTTTAATGAATCAAGATGAAGTGTTTACAATCTCCTAATAAATACGGAACCCTAGAGTCTTCTGATCAACAGTGAAGACCAGGCAGGCTGATATTCTATATTTAGATAGAGTATCACAGCTTATTGTCACAAGTAGAGGTAATCTATATGTTGATCTCTTAAAGCACTCGGCTTACCAAACCCTACACAGGTGCATCAGCACAGCTACGTTGACAACTTACAACCTGTTCAGTTACAAGCAGTACGAGCCACTCAGACGACCCACTAGATCTAAGAGAGGGACCAGCCCCCCCCCCCCCCCCCCTCACCGCTGTATTGTGTTCTGGAGCGTGTCCACGTTGTTCTGACAGCGGTCCAGCGTCCGTCTGGTTATGTTCACACTCATGGAGTCGATGCAGACGTTGTCTGTGGAAAAAAGGAGCTTTTCTAGTCTCTTCGACATCTTAAAGTCCTTTTTTAGGCCTTCTGGGAAAGCCAGGAAAGGCTCGCTCATCCCACTGAGCCACAACCGCTGCAGATCCTTACCGATATTATGAGCTTCATCAAAAACCACCACAGATTTCTTGGCGAGCTCCTTGGACACCAGGTCAGCGATCTTTGGGTCCAGCAGGTAGTGGTAGCTGTACACGACGATGTTAGCGTGCAGAATCTGGGAGCACATGAAAACCATTTATAGAGCAACAAGTAATGAAACTACAGCAGTGAGTTGTAGTGGTTGGGGGTGACAGCCGTGTGTGACCACATACTGAATAACGAGCCAGATAGTACGGACACCAGCCTTTCCTCCTGCCGAGGTCCTTTAAGTCATCCAGGTTGTAGACGCCTGCAGGAAGAGGAACCTGACGTCCGACTGCATCAAACTCCTACATCATAAACCGGAATAATAAATCTAGGCCAGGAGCAGGAAAAGCAGACACTCAGGTGAGTTCAGGTGACATACCTCATAGAAGCGACACACAGGCTGGTTGGGGTTACCGTGGCGTTGAGCACGAACATATGATGCTGTCAGACTGTGGCATTTCCCATCAACCTCCTTCCCAAAGCGTAGGGAGCTCACCTGGATGACGACGGACAAATGTGGGTTATTTTCAAGGCTGAACACTGTTCTCAGTTTGCGGTTTGGGGTTGCGGGTTTGAACCTCGGGGTGGATGCACAGGTTTTTTCTGGAAGAAAGCGCCAGAGCCAGGAAGTTGTTGACTTCTTCAGTTTCTTTGGCATAAAACTCCATCAGCTTCCTCAGCTCCTCCACCACCTCATCGCAGAGAAGCACAGCGTTTCCGACTAGTTCCCTCCTCGTTTAATACTCCATGATAATCTGATGCAACTCACTTTCTCGATCTCAGGAACCGTTCTGGAGCAGTAAATCAACTTGGTCACTTCCAAAGGAAAAGCCTGATAAACAGAACCGAACATGTGGAGCAGAACCGAACATGTGGAGCAGAACCGAACCAGAAGCAACTAAAACTGTTCAACTCACCCTCTGGTAGGCAACGATGAGCGACAGCAGAGAGATGGTCTTCCCGGTCCCTGATGGCATCTCCAGAACTCCATGACCCTGAACAGCAAAGGTTCAGCCTGACTCTACTGAGCACTCAGGTCAGACTCACCTGATTTGATGACGTCATCGTTTCTGGTCTAGAAATCGGACCCAGTTTGGTTAAACTGGAACGTTTGAGCTGGGGATGAGGTTACTAGCCAGCTACATCCACACATGAAAACACACATCATGTTTAAACTTCCACATATGATCTCCGGGCCGTTAAACCCACCTTAGCATCTAGAGTCCTCTTCAGCTCCAGCATGTAGGAGTACTGCTCCGGATAAATGTAATCATAAGGAAAATACACCAACAGACCGTCGATGTTCAGCCTGAAACATGAACGCAGGTTACTCCAGCAGCACGACTGGTTAACAGCGTTACCCTCTGGTTTAGCTAGCTCGGTTCTCCAAACTTTCAAACATTTAAGCTCATTTTGACGGCCTTGAAGCAGAAACACTCACTTCATTGTCCACAACTCGTTACGCAGCTACTTGTCCCGAGTTATTCTTTTTTTATGCGTTGATTGGTGACAAAAACAATGTGGCTTGAGTAGCGCAGCAAAATGACGGCATTCCTTCTTCACTCGTTGCT